GCCTGGGTCATTATTTCCAAGGTGGTTTTGCATAGCGAGGCGACACCTCCCATCTCCCTTACTGTCTTCCTCCTATAGCCCATGCCAGGCCACGGGCTTGGTGCTTTCCCTTCAAGGGCAGGGTCAGTAGCTGGCATTGACCTCCTTCCCCGGCCCAAGGTGAGTAACATCAGGTCCACCGGCCTTGAAAAAATGTCCAAAGCCACTTCCCACTGAGTGAAGATGAAAAAAAGGAGGGAAAATGGTCAAAGTCATCCAAGGAAGGAAGGAATTCTGTTACAAAGAACAATTTTATCAGCAGTATAAACTTATCACTTAGGTTAAAAAAACTTATTGCACAGTGGCGTGACCATAGATAATGATAATGTACTATTAAATAAATAAATTTTAAAAAAGCTAGAATGGGGTACAGTGCTGTGTCGCAATAGGTCAAGCCACCGCCTATGACACCAGCATCCGATATGGGCACATCTGATCCAGCTCCCTGCTAATGGCCTGGGAAAAGCAGAAGATGGCCAAGTGTTTGGGACCCTGCAACCCATGTGGGAGTCCCGGATGAAGCTCCTGGTTCCTGGCTTCATCCTGGCCCAGCTCTGGGCGTTGCGGCCCAGCTGATGAAAGATCTCTCTCTCTCCCTCTCCCTCCCTCTCCATCTCTCTCTCTCTCTGTAGCCCTTTCAGATAAATAAATAAATATTTTCCTAAAAAAGCTAGATGAAAGGGTTTTGCATGTTTTCACCATAAAGAAATAATAAATATTTGTGGCAATAGACATGTCTACCTGTATTTGAACATTATGCCTTGTATACAAGTATTGAAACATCACATGGTACCCCACAAATAAGTTCAGCTTTTCCTGTATTTGTTAAACATTTTTTTAAATGAATAAATAAATTTTTTGCAAATGTGATGAGACTGAATGGCAGGAAGAGCATTTGACATCCAGCAGCGCCATGAAACCAGTGTTGGCAGCTGCCTGATGCCAGCCTCATCCTTTGGGCTCAGGATGGAGCTCCCCTCCCCTCCTCTCCCCTCCCCTCCCCTCCCCTCCCCTCCCCTCCCCTCCCCTCCTGGCCTCTGTGCTCACCCGTGTGCCCTCTGCCTGCCCTGCTGTCCTGTGCTGTGGCCCTCTGTAGAGCCTTGGCAATCACAGACTATGGAGTGGGACGGAAGGGCGGTTGGGGGCCCAGAGCCCCAGGCACTAGCGGGCCCTCACCCGGCAGGACTGGGCGCCCTGATCAACAGGGCTGGGCAAGCCAGTCTGCCAGGGCCACCTCCTGCCCTGCACAAGGAACCAGCAGGCGCTGTTTAAAAGGCACCCAGCAGCCTTTCTTGACATTTTCTCTCCTGGGGGGCCCATCAGGTGAATTTCCACCTTTCAGAAAGACAAATGAAATGCAGCCCCATCCAGTGAGTAGGAATGCAGTTGACAAAGAACGGACTCAGCCGGTGCCCGGCTCAATAGGCTAATCCTCTGCCTGCGGCACCAGCACCCCAGGTTCTAGTCCCGGTTGGGGCACCGGATTCTGTCCCAGTTGGGGTGCCAAATTCTGTCCCGGTTGCTCCTCTTCCAGTCCAGCTCTCTGCTGTGGCCCGGGAAGACAGTAGAGGATGGCCCAGGTGCTTGGGAGACCGGGAGGAAGCACCTGGCTCCTGGCTTCCGATCGGCACAGTACACTGGCCGTAGCAGCCATTTGGGGGGTGAACCAACGGAAGGAAGACCTTTCTCTCTGTCTCTCTTTCTGTCTAACTCTGCCTGTCAAAAAAAAAAAAAAAAAAAAAAAAAAAAACGGACTCCATCAGAAAACAACCTATCCGGGTCCACGGTTGGTAACCATTGCCCACGGGATACAACTTGAAGAATTTAACTACAAACCATGATCTTGATATATTTCTCCCCAGCAAGCTGCCAGGAATACTGACTAGCAGGGATTATATATTTTTACCTAAGCCTTTGATTTTCCCGATCCCCCCCCCACTTTAAAGTTCAAATATTAATTATATTTACATAACATTTCAAAGAACTCTCAGATCCGTTGTCTTGCTAGAGCCTATTTAATATACCAGGGAGGGCCATAAATCATTAAGCAATAACTGCCTATTAGCCCCATAACTTTAATTAGCTTTCTAGAGATGGGAGAACGCAATCCCGGAAATGGCACATGTGGATGGAAGCAGCGATGGGAAGGCATCCAGCACATGGCCAGCTGGCCAGGGCAGAGCTGGGAAGGCACGGGGGGGCATGGCCACGCTGCATGGCCCCCACACAGGTACGAGCAGGTGGATGTCAGAGAGACATCCAGGAAAGGCAGAGGTCACAAAAACAAATCTTACCCACTCACGCTATTGCCCAGGAAATCCTAATGAAAAGGTCCTGTCGTGTAGCCCAGACTCATCCCAGTGCTGAGAAGCCGTGTGATTTTCTGAACGAACGACTTGGCTAGCCGTCCCCGGGAGCAGGAGCCGAGTGCTTCCGCTGAGATTCTTTCTAACAACTATAAGCCTTTGTTTACACCAGATATTATGTAGAGAACAAAAGGAAGCTTTCGTTTCAAAACCTCCCTTCTCACTGTTCCTTCTCACGTGTTAGCACAATCCTTAAATAATGCACCTCCGAGGCTCTGAGTAATCCCTCCCGCTCGCAGCCCTGGAGCACGGCTCCGGTCCAGGGACTCGCTGGAAGGCGCTGGATGCTCCACCCCAGCCGGAGCTGGAAGTGTGTTTCAGAGGACCAGAAGCAGCCTCCTCCGCTGGGCTCCTCCTGCTGCTCTCCCTGGGCCTCCCAGCCTCACCCCACCCTGGGAGAGTGGCCACAAGGCCTGGAGCTGTCCTGCCCTCTGCCTGCCCCTCACCGCCTCGCTGTCCTCGTCCGCCAAGGAAGCGTTTGGGTTTCACTGGCTCGCATCCCTGGGTGCACATCAGAGCCACCTGGGGAGCTCTCAACACGGGATTCCTGTCTAATTGGGCTGGGGTGGAGCCCAGGCACTCAGGTGTGTTACACCAGTTCTCCAGGTCCAGCAACCAGCGGGCGAGCCACGCTCAGAGGGAAAAGTCTATGATCCCAACCCTCTGGTGCTGTGCTTTATTTACCGAATTTATTTTTCCCAAAAATGCATTTTTTCACCTTAGTATATGGCATAAGCTGATTTTTACACATGCTTTAAACTAGTAAAAAGTACTATATTGTTAAAGTATTTTGGAGGGCGTAACTGGCCTCTAATACTGCATGCTTTAGCGGACGATTTGACAAGTTTTCACCTACAGGAAACGGGCAACCCCCGTTCTCCAGGCAAACCCCGATCTGCCACCTCCTGCCACTGAGCAGTCTGCATTTTTCATCAAAGCAGTCACACAGTGTGCACCGTGTCTTGCCTGGCTGCTGCTTCATTGTATCCCTGGACTTCAGATTTCAAACTCTTTGGAAACAGAATCCACCCTTCCTGTATTTTCTCTTCTTCCCAGCCCCTAGCTTATCTCTGCTCAGATAATCCTTCAGCCATCACTTGCTTGGCTGACCAGAGACCTTCAGGAATTTCTAAGGGAGAGGGTCTGTGGCCGTGTGTTACGGGTGGTTAATGGGGTCACTCCCATCCCCTCTCTGTGGGTCCCTCTCTCTCTGCAGCTCTAGCCCAGTTAAAGCTAACACTTGAGTGAAAGCAGGGGTCTTGAGTGAGGGACCAGCAAGTCTAAGGAGACCAGCCATGAGCATCAGGATGTGTGGGGGCAGCAGGGGATGGGGATGAGCCCCTGGGAGAGGTAAGCCTTGGTGTCACCAGACTGCATCTTAATAACGGGATTCTCGAGCCAAAGCGGCAGCCACGGAATCTGCCCTGTGCCCTTGTCTTCCTGCTGCCCCGTATGCATTTACCATGCGACGTCTGACTCCAGCCCCGCTGCCCTCTGCTCCTCCCTTCCCCACCCCCCTCCCTGCCTAGTGCCTGTTTTGCTCTCCACCTGCTCTGTCATCCATAACCCCCATTAGGTGAGCACGCTGCAGGGCTGTCTGGCGACAGGGGGACTTCCCGAGACCCCTCGGTCCCCTCTCACCGGAGCCCCGTGGTGTGCGGTGCCTCGCTCTGTGCCGTTCAATGGCTCAGGCTCCACTTCACTCCACAGGACACCCTGAATACCTGGACCCTGTTGTGCTCACAGACCACAAACCCACAGAGCGCAGGGCACCTCCCGGGGAACGAGACCGGTGTTTTTCACGGCTGGGTAGATCAGGCTCACCAGGAAGCACAAGCGACAAGAAACCGTACTGCAAATTCACAACCCAGCCTCCTCTATCCAGAAATGCCGCCTTCTCCCCCCAGCACATGACACATCTCTAGATTAAAGCAAACACCAGCTTCTAAAGGAAGCGGGCACAGTCACCCCACGGCTGGGTTCCAAGAGCCTTTCAGACATCGAGAGGGAGCAGGAAAAGCACCACGGGGCTCCCACGGACATCAGCGCCACACACCTTGGCTTGCAAGGGTCTGGGCTCTGAGCTCTGAGCTTTGGGGTGATGACTAGGCTTTGGGTTCTCGCTGCTCCCTCTCCCCTCCACCTCTTTCCACCCGACGAGCAAACACAGAAACCGCAGCCGCGCTGGGCAGGGTACTCACGTGCAGGCGGCCAGGGCGCGGGCGGTGCAGGCGCGCGGGCCGGCCGCTGGAGGCTTAAATAGCCCGGGCGGGCTGCGGGCGCGCGCTCGGGCAGGGCCCCGCGGAACCCGCCGCGTGGGCGGGCGGGAGGCGGACGGCTGGGCGTGCGCCCGGTTCTTCAGGTTTGAGACCCAGGCGGCGACTCCCGGAGTCTCGGCCCCGCCTTCTCGGTCCTGTCCTCCTCCCGTGGGTGGGAAGCCAGGTGCCCCGGGCGCGGCCCCGCGCGGCTTCTGCCTGGGTCTCGGGCGGCTAACGCCGCAGCTCTGCGGGCTCCTGGCCCTGGACAGCTGCCCCGCGAACGAAAAGTTGTTTCTTTCGGACCCTGAATGTACAAGTAAGGGACGGAGAGGCCTGGGCCACGATAGGATTCCAGGCTTCCTTGCAAACTGCTTCCGTCCCCCCCACCCCCGCCCCCGCATTTGTCTTTCCCTCTCTCCCTCCCTTCGCTAATGAAATTCCTATCTAAGAGCTGAGAGATGCCCCGTGGGAGCGCAGAGAAAAAGCCGGCCTGGGAGCCGGACTGTGGGAAAAGGCACAGGCTGAGAGCGCGCGCGCGCGCGGGCGCCGTGGGCGTGCGGACCCGGCCGCGGGTGGATTCTTTCTTTTGGGAGCGGAACGCGGCAGTCGAGTCAGGGACACTGACCCCGGGGCAGCGGGGGTGAGTTTGCGGGGGTTAAGGGAGGGACCCAGGGTTGGGTGAGCGCACGCATGGGAGCATCTGGGTGCACCTGCCGGCCCCACGCACGCACGCACGCACGGGTGAGAGCCACCCAGGCACCCAGACCCTGCGCTCGTCACTTCACGGCAGAAACCAAAGGCCCCACTTGATTCTCCGGGGAAAGAGAGGCGGGCGGTCACCCGGGGTCTTGCCTCCCCTCTGCGGAGACGCGCTGGTGGCTGTAACACACGCGTGGGAGGAAGCGGGCGAGCCCACCCTGGTTACCCGAGGAATCCTTTGGTTTCCGTCTGGTCCCTGCCGAACCCCTGACTGTCCTACCGCCAGATCAGGATTCTGCGCCCAGATTTCTGGCATGCGGAAACGCCTTGTTCGTTTCTGGATACTGAGGGTGACTTAGAACGGAGGGCCACCATGCCAGGCTCTATGTAAGCACCCCAGAGCGCACTTGTTACTTCATCCTCGCGACAGCCTTATTACTTCACTTTTTGTTATCCTGTTACAGATGAGGAAACTGATACTCAGGCAGATTAAGTAACTCTCCCAGGGCCATGGTAAGTGACGGAAATGGAATTCGAATCCAGATCTATCCGGAGTCTGGTTTATACTCAGGACCGACATTTGGAGTTGTCCAAGAATGTTTACACTTGTATACTTGTTTATTACTTATCTTCCTGAATGTGGTTTGCTTGATCACAATTACCTGGTCTTACCTTGTTCAGCCTTCTAACCCCAGCACGCAGCACTGTGTCAGGTGCGTAGCAGGTGCCTAATCAACATATATGTGCTAAGGCTGTTTTTTAAATTCCTTTGAAGGCTACACAACACAGCAGGCTGAGGGTTGGGAATCAGCAGTTTTAGCTTGGTTCAGACACATTTCTTTTGCTCTTGCAAAATGTGTTGGCTTCAAGCTATCTCTATACGGCATATCATGGAGTTGAAACTAAAAGTGGCTGAAACCATGAAGTGGTTTTGAAATCACTTATGTCAGGTATGTGCTTTTGGTTGGTCAGCGGCACAGCAATGTCCCAAGAATCCTGGCTTCTTCCACCTTTTATTTTGTAGCTCTCAGTGCGATAGCACTTTCTCCTCATGGTTACAAGGTGGCTGCAGTGGCTCTATCATCATATCCTTAAAACACCCAAAGACGGGTTGGAAGGGGGTTGAGCTTTCTCCTACGTATCCCTATCTGTTAGAGAAGAAAACATCTCTCCAGAAGCCACTAGCAGACTTCCACTTATTTCTGCTTGCTGAGAACTGAGTCAAATGGCCACCGCATTGGCCACATCCATCATTTGTAAAGAGGAGCAGGAATCCAGCTGATGGTGGCTCATCTCCGGGACCCCATATGAACTGCTCTGATATCTGACCAAAATCAGGATTCAGTTGACAGAGGAGATGTAGAAAAGTGCTACGAACTGTTGTGCCAATCCAGGGAATCTCTTAAATGAGAACCTACACCAGACCAGGCCACGGGGATTGGGTTTCACTGTTACCAGTTCTTCCTTCCTGTGGTTTTGGGGTTTTTTTTGATTTTGTTTTATTTATTTTGTTTTTTGTTTTATTCACCTGAAAGGTGGTGAGAGAGAGAGAGAGAGAGAGAGAAATCTTCCATCTGCTCGTTCACTCCCCAAATAGCCAGGGCTGGGCCAAGCCGAAGTTAGGAGCCAGGAACCCCATGTGGGCCTCCCATGTGGGTGGCAGGGGCCGAAACCACCTTCCTCTCTCTTCCCAGGTGCATCAGCAGGGAGCTGGATCAGAGGTGAAGCATCTGAAGCTCAAACCGGTGCCCATATGAGATTCGGCGTCATCGACAGTGGCTTAACCTGATGCGCTACAACACTCTTTCTCATCCCTTTTTTTAAATAAGGAAAGTTTGCTTTGGCTCAAGAGAATTAGAAGTATTTCAACAACCTATAAATAAGTAACTGGCTGCAGTGATTATTTTCCCCCTAAAGATTTAGATCCTAGGGCCGGCACTGTGGCGCAGAGGGTAAAGCCCTGGCCTGAAGCGCCAGCATCCCATATGGGTGCCTGTTCCAGTCCTGGCTGCTCTTCTTCCCATCCAGCTCTCTGCTGTGGCCTAGGAAAGCAGTAGAGGATGGCCCAAGTCCTTGGGCCCCTGCACCCACGTGGGAGACCTGAAAGAAGCTCCTGGCTCCTGGCTTCGGATCAGCGCAGCTCTGGCCGTTGCAGCCATTTGGGGAGTGAAGCAGCAGACAGAAGACCTCTCTCTGTCTCTACCTCTCTCTGTAACTCTTTCAAATAAATAAAAATAAATCTTAAAAAAAAAAAAAGAGTGCCTGGGTTTGAGTCTCAGCTCTGATTCTGGTTCCAGCTTCCTGCTGGTAGGCACCTTAGAGGCAACAGAAAATGGCTGTAGAACTTGGGTCCCCGCCACCGACTTAGGAGACCCAGGTCCGGGTTCCTGGCTTAAGCCTGACTCAGGTCTGGATACTGCAGGCATTTGCGAAGTGAACCAGTAGATCAGAGATAAATAATTTTTAAAGGATTTATTTATTTATTTTGAAAGAGTAACAGAGAGGGAGGGAGAGACAGATCTTCCATCTCCTGGTTCACTCTGCAATGGCCAGCATTGGGCCAGGCCAAAGCTAAGAGCCAGGAGCTTCATCTGGGTCTCCCACATGGGTAGCAGAACCCAAACGCTTGGGCCATCCTCTTCTGCTTTTCCCAGGCCATTAGCAGGAAGCTGGTTCAGAAGTAGAGCAGTCGGGACTCGAACTAGTGCCCGTGTGGGGTGCTGGTGCCATAGCTGGTGGTGGCTTTACTTCCTATACAACAATGCCAGCCACTAAAATAAGTCAGTTTTTTAAAAAGGCTCATTTGCCCGCTCTGGCTCTTGTCCATTGTATTTCATTGCAATTCCACCATCCTATATGCTTACATCCATCCTGCCTGTGAGTTTCAGCCTCTGCCTGGACTATGCACACTAGAGATACATGCTGAAAGTCTTTCTCGTGCGCTCCTTTTCTCCTGGTGGCCCACAGACTTCAAATGAACATGTGCAAATATGTACTTCTTTTCCTTCTATTTGCTGCTCTAGACATTTTCCTTGCCATGCACATGGGGAACTCTTCTCTGCACTGTCACAGGTCCAGAAAATTAGGAGGAAGAAGGAGGTGAACTAGAGGTTAGGCTCCGCAGGGAAGAACAACATCCGGGAGATGGCAGATGCTCACGCAGGGTTTGCTGAGTTCTTCCAAGAATGGTGCAAAGAACAGTGTGGAGGCTGGCTTGCTTTATTTTTTACCAGTGATGAACAGCTTATCCCCTCAACATTTTCCCACCTGCATCTTAACCACATTCTTTGCTACCTCCAACAGTGTTGGTGACTCACTTTTTGAAATTGCATTTTTTTTTCAGTCCTCTTTGGCTATTCCTTAATGTTTTTTCTATGATTCTTCTTACTCCCTAAACTGTTGTGCTTTACCCAGGGCGTCATCACTTGCTCTCTGTATGCCTTACTATATACACATAACTTTCTTTAGCAGCACAATGATTCTTTTTATACATGAATAAGTGACTTTCATAAATTATATGAGCAATCAAATATCTGATAAAGGACTTGTATCTAGAATATAAAAGACTTAAAATTCCATATTTCAAAAGACAACCCAATTTAAAAATGGGCAAAGTATGTGAACAGGCATTTCCACAAAGAGTGTGGGCTTCTGGATCACACAGAGTTCAAGTCGCGCTACTTCCACTTACCTGCTGTGTGGACCATGGTAACTTATACAACTTCTGTCAATGTCAGTTTCCTCATCTCTAAAACAGGAGTCAGGACACTCATCTTGTTGTAAGGACTAGAGACAATATATCGAAGCATTTATCATAATGCCTATAACATAGCACATGCTCAGTAACTGGTAGCTACTGCTAACAGCGACAAGAAATCAAGTCCTCCTAGCTTTAATCTTCCTTGTGCAAAGTAGTTAAGCCAACGGTGCTACTGCAGCTGGGGGCACTGACACCTATGCAGTGGGGATGCTATTCTCTTCCTGCCACAAGATGGAGATCACTGGAGTGCAGAAGGCCCATTTGCGGAATAAGGGGCATGAGGAACCACGCCACGGTGCAGAGAGAAGCCATTCCTTAAGAAAATTAAGCATATAAACTGACCAAGGGCCCAAATCGACGTGCACAAACGCAGACGAGGAAGAGGGGTAGCCAGCGGGCAGAGGTGAACTTGCTGGACGTCCTGGGCCCCCAGACCTCTGCAGCTGGTGGGGGAGGTCCGGCTGAGCCTGGAGCAGTGTGGGAAGTGGAGGAAGATCCGCACACGGCAGAGGCCCTGGCCACCAAGAGGGCCAGGGCTCAGGTCATCCTCTGGGCGAGCTGTGTGGACGTTGCTGGAAGCGTGGATTCCGCCGCCGCCTTCCCCGCTACCAGGTCAGTCAGTGGGTGGCCAGGAGCCAGGGCAAGGTCCTTCCACGCGCCGTGGTCTGTGGCGGGAAGGAGGCGGCCCTCGCCTCAGCACCAGGGCTTCGGGCCAAGGCAAGGGGAAGCAGCCCGGCGCCATTCTCCACGCGGGCCGGTGGGGCACGACTTGAGTGATGGAGAGACGCGCGGGGCACGACAGGAGTGACGCGCGGGGCACGATGGGAGTGACGGAACGTCGCCGACATGGTGGCCACCGGCCTGACTGAGCCCCCAGGAGCCAGCGTGCTGCCTGCGCATGGCCGATGTGAGTGTGGCCTCGCGGTGCTGGGCGGGGAGAAATCAGCTTATCCTCCATGCTCTCTCCCCAGCAACCTGGCACTCCCCCAGGCCCCTGCAGACCTAGCTCCTGGAACCAGGGGGAAGCACCTGGCACGTGTGTGTGTGTGTGTGTGTGTGTGCGCGCGCGCGGCTGCAGCTCTCGACCGCGTGCCTGGGCAGTGCCTGGCTTTGCCCTGCAGACCAGAGAGATGTGTGGAAACAGCAAGGCAGAGAGGCAAGGAGGGAGGGAGAGATTCCGATCTTCGCTTTTGGAAAAAAACAAAAACAAAAACAAAAAACCCGCGATGGTTAGATGTTGTTAAGCAATTCCGTGCAATTCTGCTGTGTGCATTTCCATGGTCATCCAGGCAGGCCCCAGCCGTGCTGCGGGTGGTGACTTAAGGACTGGTGTCCTTTGGCTCCTGGTGTGGCCTGTTACATAAACGATGGTGCACACACCTGCTCTGGCTTTCAGTTCTCTAAATAGTCGGCTCCTGGACTAGTCTTTCCAGTGGATTCTGACTAAGCCGCAACAGGGCCTGGTGTCCTGCGCTGATCTTGCAAAGCTCACACCCTTGGCTTTGTTGTCTGACTCAGAGGGAGATGGGCTCTGCCTTCTCAGAGCTCCAGTGGACGCCCCACCCGTCCCAGAGCCAAAGCTCAGGCTGAGGACAATTTTGGGTGGTGTCAGGGTTGAGAGCAGAGGCTTCGGAGACGGCCTGGACTCGGCTCACATCGAGTGTCACCCACCTTGCTGGTTCCCCCAGAAGTGGCTCGATTTGGGCGCTGTGCATCCCACATCCAGGAAACCCCTCAGGCCCAGTAAGCCAGAACGCTGGTCCCCTCCTCGTATCTGTCTCACTTCCTAGCAGTGGTTTAACCTCACCTGAGCCTTAGGTTCACCGTGCGCCAGATGAAAAAATGAGTGCATTCCTATCCAGTGTGTGGAGGGTGGGGGTGACAACGCAGCCAAAGGCTGTTCAGGAAGACAATAGAAGATGGAGGGGTCACAGTTGCATCTCTATCTCTGTGTGAAGAAGGAGCCTATGCCTTCTCTCCCCAGGCTGTTTTGATTCTTCCAAGGGCAGCCCTTGAGCGCTCAGGAACACCCTTCAGAAAAGCCTGCAAGGCCCCAGCTGATGCAGACGGCGGGGTGAAGGGCTCCCCCGGCCCTGCAATGATCTGATTGAGTGTGTATGGCAGAGCAGCCGCCTGCACGCCAAAGTCACTTTCGGCAGCTGGCATTTAGGAGTCACCAATCAGCGATTATGAAGCCTTGGCTTTTCAGCTGCGTTGTCACCCCTCAGCCATTGTCTGCAGAGACTCTTAACTAATAGCTGTGTTCTGAATGACTGCTTGCCAGGAACTGCTGTTCCACGCTAGAAAAGGAAAAGGAGTCAGTGTTTCCTAAGGACTCCCTTGCAAGGCATTTGTAGTGCAGGGGTGAATTGCCCGGGCATCCAGAGCCTGGCAGTGGAGGCTGGGGGCTGTCTTGGAGACCAGAAGCAGCAGGCAAGAACTCTGGTAACAAGGGAGAGGCAGGGGGATTGTGTATTCAAATGCCTGCATAGAAGGAGGCCTAATCAAAGATACCATGGAAAACAAGCTGCAAGCACATAGGGAGGTTTTAAGAGAGTCAGGCTTTTTCTGAACGGAAGGACGCGGCTGGGGGAAGTGGTCTGCATGTATGAGCTGAGCTGGCCGGATTGAGCCGCCAAAGGCTGGGGGTTGCTCCAAGTGCAAACGCCTTCACCCTCCTGGCCGGCCGGCCTGCCCTCCTCATAAAGGAAGCAAGTATTGTTAGAATTAGCGCCAACTTTTCCCTGAAAATTCAAGTCTTTAGAAGTTGGGAAACTTAACGTGTAAGAGGCTGGCACCATTCCTGCCTGTGGCAGTTACTGGCACCGTTTGGCATAATGAGAACATCTTCAAAAGTGAAGCTAAAAAAAAGGACTCTCTGATCTGGAATTTACTGATTTACATAAACTTTCATGTGAAGTTGATTTTGTTTTTTAAAAAGATTTATGCATTCATTTGCAAGAATTACAGAGAGAGAAGGAGAGAGAAAGAGCTTCCAGTCATGAGTTTATTCCCAAAGTGGCCACAGTGGCCAGGTCTGGGCCAAGCTGAAGCCAGGAGCCAGGAGCTTCTTCCAGGTCTCCCACGTGGGTGCAGGGGCCCAAGGACTTGGGCCATCTTCTACTGCTTTCCCAGGTTATAGCAAAGAGCTGGATTGGTAGTGGAGCAGCCAGGTCTTGAACTGGCACCCATATGGGATGCCGGCACTGCAGATGGCGGCCTTACCCCACTACACCACAGCACCGGCCCCTGTAAATTTTAAGTAAAGCTTTTCATTCAGGCTATAATGTCATCAGAGTATTTCAGGATGAATGGTCTTTTATTAAAAATCAACTACCCAGTGTTGGTTATGGGGCCTCATTCCCCAAATGTCCATAGTCCTAACCCCTCAGGTATCTGCCTTCAAGCTGCACAGAATTTTTCAAAAACTTTCTTCTCCTGATAACCTGTGCTCACCTGTGCAGCAACCAAGTTCATGAAAGAGGCTTCAAGAGCAATTTGGGGCCTGGAGAGTATCCTTTCTCTGTAGTGTGTGGGCTTTTTAAGATTTAATTCCGGGCCGGCGCCGCGGCTCAATAGGCTAATCCTCCGCCTTGCGGCACCGGCACACCGGGTTCTAGTCCCGGTCGGGCACCGGATTCTGTCCCCAGTTGCCCCTCTTCCAGGCCAGCTCTCTGCTGTGGCCAGGGAGTGCAGTGGAGGATGGCCCAAGTGCTTGGGCCCTGCACCCCATGGGAGACCAGGAGAAGCACCTGGCTCCTGCCTTCAGATCAGCGTGGTGCGCCGGCCGCAGCGCGCCAGCCGTGGCGGCCGTTGGAGGGTGAACCAACGGCAAAGGAAGACCTTTCTCTCTGTCTCTCTCTCTCTCTCACTATCCACTCTGCCTGTCAAAAAAAAAAAAAAAAAAAAAAGATTTACTTCCTCAGGACATTTAAAGTGAAAAGAAAAAGGCAGATGCAGTCAACTGCCACGTTAAGGAAGCCACACACCTTTTCAGAATACCACCCGGTCAGTACACAGCCAGTCCCACTGCATCTTTGGGACCAGGGAATTCTGGCCATTGTTAGTAAAGGAAATGGGAGCAAACAGCTCCAAGGTGCCCTGTGCCAGGCACGGTGACACACCAGGAGCAGCCCCGGGACTGATCTTTGTGCTGGGAAGCGCAGGGACAGGCCTGTGGCCGTACCCCCTTCTCCTCTTCTCAGAAGCCAGACGTCCACTGTTAGGGACCAAACAGGACTTGGCTCCCCAAACTCACGCATACATTTGAGCCTCAAAGTCTTAGGTTAGCAGTTAATGGATTAATGATGAGGGCTGCTGGATTAGGGTAGAGATTTGATCTAATTATGACATCTAAGAGGTGGGAGCAGTGGGAGGTCTTTAGGTCACTGGGGCCTTGCCCTTGGAAAGCAGTTCTCCCAGGAGAGAGCCTGCCTCCTGGGTCACCATGGGGTCCTTCTGTGCACCTGCTGTGCTTGGCAGCCTCCGCCAGATGCCAGACTGATGGGGCCGTGTGAGCTTGGACTCTGAACCTCCAAACTATACGTGGAATAAAACGTCTTCCCTCCTAAGTTGCTCCCCTTATCTATTTTAGTTAAAGTAACAAGCACCTGACTCTTACACCCACTTTCCCCTCTGTTCTGCAGTCACTGAGGGAGCTTCCTCAGAGGTGGGAGTGAGCGGATGCCCGGTACTCAGGTCCTCCCCAGCAGATACCTCCTGGGAGCAGCCTTGTCACCAGTGTCCAGAAAACCCCCTGGAGGGCCCCCAGAACCCGAAGTCTGTAGCTGAGCACCCCGGTGCTATCTCTTTAGTGCAAATGCAAATGGGTTCTGAGATCTCAGAAATGCAGGCCTACAAGCAGTAACGAAAAAGATGTGGAAGGTGTTCTTTCTAGGCCCC